GGTTGTTTTGTTTGGTTTTTTTGTGGTGTTGTTGTGTGGGGGGGGGGGGGGGGCAACAGCAGCAAACATTAGCAATTCATGAGGTTGACAAAAAAAACAGAAGTCTACACGACACACCGTCAATTCCTCAGGGAAACAGAAAGGACAAAAAACAAAACGCGTTCACAAGGGCAGCCAGTACAGAAGTGCAGAAGACAGACGAGATAGACGGCAGAAATGGCTACATTGGGTTATACTAGGATGGCAACGCCGTACAACTGCTGTATACGGACAGACGACCAACCACATATTTTCCAAGAGATGTCAGAGAAAAGAAATAAAGTTTCATTTTGTTTTTCAAGGCAGGGCGCGAACCAGACCGGGGAAGTACAGAGACATAACCCTACTGAGCACTGCCGGTCTGCAGTATAGGAAATATGTGCAGTAGTGTTTTTTTTCAAAGGATAGAATGGGAGCTATGCTGGAGCAGGAACAAACGATTAGCGAAGGGCAAGCTGGGTTTAGGCCTGAACAATGCTGCAAGGACCAAGTGTACGCATCAGGTATTTGTCATACATGCAACCTACGGTAAACTTCGGAGTAGGGTACCTGTAGCCTTGGCGGGAAGGGGGAAGCGAACTCACGCGCATCACCACCCACCTGTTCCGTAAGCTGCTCGTGAATCTTGGTTAGGCGTTGGAGCTCTTCGCCCATCTTGATGACGGTCTTGAGGGACACCTCCAGCCGGCGGTCCTTGATAATCTCCCTTCCTGCCTGTCGGACGAGAATAATAGGGTTGAGTTAGCGTCCAAAGAAAACACCAGGTGGCAAGAAAGAAAAGGATAAGAAAAACGAAATACGCGTTATGTCGCGGAGGTCATAAACTAGAGATTGTCTGCTGCGTTGTTTTGCACACCCTTCGCATTCGGTTGCTGTTGCTCGTTCCAAGAGCAACAGTGTACGGTACGGGTACTTGTTCCGTGGTCGGTTCGTCGGGAGGTAATTTCGAACTCTTTCCATGATTCACTGGTTACATCCGTTTAAAAAAATTGCAAGGGGCTACGGCACTCTGGTAGAGGCTGTTCATCTTTCCGCCCTGGCCTACGGGACGGACGGATTTCCTGGCTGTGGGGGTACGATACGGTACGGATAATATCATGCCTGCCTGCTGGTGTGGAAGAATGAACACGTATCCTGCATCGCGCCTCTTAACCGTTGGTACATGGAAGCGGCAAACCCGTCCCAGTTGCATTGCCGTTTCGTGCGAAAATCAGCCAAGGGGCGGAACATACAATCGTGTCGTGTAGGTCCAATACTGTATCACACCCACCTTGAGCATTGACTCCTCAAAGAGGAGTCGGTGGTACTCGGTTTCCGCGTTTTCTCGCCGCCTCTCGCTGCGCTTGACACCTTGGCCCTCCTGCGCGGTGATGAGCCATTCGAGCTCTTCATCGTCCTGCAAACGAATCAACCAACGGGACGAAAAAAAAAAACATTCCAAGGGAAACACATGCGATCAGGAAATCATCAGCTGAGCGAACACGAACACACGAGAGAGAGCGGGCGGTAAAGCGGGAGAGGACGGCAGCCGGGCAGGGGAAGCAACGCAGGTGATCGCTACACGCTGGGAGCAAACAACACGCTACGAGAGGCTTGTGGTAGATATACTATGTCTAGACGACAATGGATGAACACGACACAAGACTAGAGAGGGCGACCATTGAACTAACTCGTATTGCTACTGCTACCGCTGAAACTTCCGTTGCTGCTGCTATTGCTCCTATTGCTGCAGGTTACGCAAAAACGAAAAACAAAATATGTGTCACTTTGCCGGTTATCTTCTTCAAGATCTCCAGTCTCATGGAGGCCTTCTGCCAAGTGCCCAGGGAGGGTCGACCGTCCTCCTCGCCACCGCCGCCGCCGCTCTTGCGGGCCTTCCGCCGGCCCCGGCGAACCGCCGTGTCGTTCGTGCTTGAGGGCTTCCTGGACTCCCCTCCTGCTGTCGTTGGTGCCCTGAGTTCTCGTTCCCAGGCCATGTGGCGGGAGGCGGAGACCCTGCAGGAATTGTTCGTGTCAATGGGGACAGAAGACAAAAGTAATGTTTTCATTGTACTTGTTGTTTTGGGCTTTCGCATCATGTCAAGGACTCGGCTTTTTGAAGACAGAAATGCTAAAACAAACGAGGCTGCTTATATTTTCGGTTGCGGTATCAGAGGCGGTTTTGCCACACGTGTCGCCCGCAAAGGGGCAGGCACGCAAGACGTGTAAAAGGGACCGACTGACAATACGGCGAGGTGTGTGTGTGTGCCTCCACGCAACCCAGAACAACAATGCACAACGCACAGCACACACCAAACCCAAGTAACACAGCTAACTAATGCGTCTAGACTCGGCTCGGTGTAGAGTCAAAAGGTGCAGTGGCAGCAAAAAAAGGTGCAGTGGTAACAACGCCCACAGCAGTACACATCAAGCCAACTTTCAAAACTATACAATGTTTCACCTAGGTGGCCGTCGCTTCTTGCGTGGGCTTCTCCTGATCTCCTTGGCGATGCCGCCATCGGTACCCGCCGCCGCCGGTTTCACCCTCGGGGGCACCTTTGTCGTTGGTGCCCGCCGTCCCGCTGCCTTCAAGAAAGGCTGCCCGCGTTCGGTGGGCTTCATCGCCCACGCGGACTGTCCCGTCTGCTTGCCGCACGGGGTGGTAGTGTTGTTGGCCTTCTTGTAGACAGTCAATGTTGTAGTTAGCCGCTGCTTGCGGGAGGCGGTGACGGTGAGCTTCTGCTGGCGCACCCCAGATCCGGGGGTCGTGCTCGTCGTACCTGAAGGAGTTAAAAACAAAAACGGGGAGGGGGGGGGGGGCAGAAGCGGTTGTTTCAGTGGGTGCGTTGTAACTGGCGGTGAGAAGCTGTGCTTGTAGTAGTCGTACTCAATGCGAACGCTGGTGAGAGGATTTGTGAAAGGTACGTACGTTTAGAGCCTATAAACATTTGATGCAAATCGCTGTTTTGTCTTTGACTATGTTTTCTCTCGATTGCTATCGCTGCTAAAATAAAAAATCATCTCTCTCACCGCCGCCCCCGCTGCTGCTGCTGCTGCTGCTGCTGCTGCCACTCTCGTCGCTGCTGCTGCTGCTACTTGTGTCCTGGTCCATCTCCATAGAAGAAGAAGCTCTGGAGGATAGTGGCGACGGGATCTCCGTTTCATCACCGGACAGCGCGACCTTCTTGTCGCTGCTGCCGCCACCACCGCCGCCGTGCTCTTGCCCCGCTGTTCTTGCGTCCGCTTTCCCCACGATGCAGTCCTGTTTGTGTTTTTTTTGGCAGGAGGGTACATAGGTTGTTGTTGTTGTCTTCACATAAAAAAAAAAATAGGTGGACCAGGGAAAAAAAAAGAAGTAGGCGCGAAATAATGCGTACGAGATTGCACGCCCCATGTACAGCGACCGAGCGGCGATGATTGTAGTAATTTTTTTCTCCTCTCTCTTCAGGAGAAGATCCGCCGAGACATTGATTTACACGAACTCCTTACATGATACCACTATGCATGGCAACCCGACATCGATCTCGCCGACAACCTCGTTCACCGTGTCGCCACAGTGCTTCATCTTGCTCTCGACCAGCGAGGTTCGATTGGGATTCGGTTCGGGTGACACCTTCAGCGTATCTTTGATGGTCGCCGTTGCATGGTGATCCTCCGCGGCGAAGGTATTGAGCTGGTGTTTAACACGAGCGCAAGACCTTCGCCTCCGGGGATCCGCATGCAGTGGCGCCCAGCACAGCTATCGCCGAGGACAACTAACACTCGACGCCAATGCCACCAACCGAGTCGCACAGGCCGAGGGCAAGGTCAAGCAAGAATCTTGGCGGCATGATTTTGTGCATGTGTTTTATGTTCTGTCTCTCAAGGAGACCAGCCGAGACATGCGTAATTGACGCGAGCTCCTACACACGGATCTGGCCTATGTAAACTACACCCTTCACTGACCGCTGTCCCGCCACGGTGCTTGACGTTGCCCTCGCCGACCCGTGCAGTTAGATGAGGATTGGTGCCGGATGCTATCCTCGGCGATAGAGGTGCCGGCCGCCGCTGCATGGTGATCCCCGGCGGCGAACATCTTGAGCTTGGGTGAGCTCAACATCTTCGCCGCCGGGGAAAAGGTGCAGCGGTGGTCGACATCTCGATCGGCAAGGACAGCATCCGGCACC